TTTGCTGCTCAATTTACTCAGACAGTTAATCACATTGCGTGAAAGCTAATGTCATTAGAAGAGCTTCGTGCTCCGTTTACACACCCACATACTTTGTGTTTTTCCTTTGCTAAGGCTTAACGAATAAATTTGCCATCAAACTCTGTGTCGATGCCTCAAATATCGTGACTTTAAGGAAGTTGGAAGATATTTTATTTTGCATTCTAGATATATTAGAAAAACTTTTCCTTTATATGATGTTCCCTTTCTTTAATATATAAACCCATTTAATGGGTAACAAATTGAGGACACTTTCTTGACTTGTTAAATCAAACAAAAGTTTCCTAAAGTTGCCTTAAAGAAGGGAAAACATATGGTAAAGAAAGTCCTCCGCCTCCGAACCATTGATCAACTTTCTAGCTATTGTATTCATGTATCGGAGTAGGCCGACACCCTTTCATTATTGGTAGCCATACTATATACCCCTTTTCATGGTCCTAGTTTGGTTATACTGCAACAATAGCCTCCGGATATTGGGCGTATAAAAAGTTACATATGTATAGCGCAACTTTAGTTGCCAATTGGAGGAGTGTGTTCGCTTGGCCCCGGGGTCCTCAATTAATTTCATTTAGGGAGTGGCGCACAAGGAGGCCCCCGGCTATAGCTAAACACATCCAAACAAAAGAGCCAGACACACACATACACACATACACATACACACAATATTTTCAATTAAGATGCTGCAATACCAGCAGAATAATAACAATTACAACATGTACGGAGAGTAGAAGTAGAGTGGCGCGGTTTAAAGGAAAGGAAGTCTTCTTGAAACAGAGTCTGGCGTCCTTTCTTGGAAAAGGTTTTCCTCCTGCACTCTCTCGATTGTCGATGAAAGCAGTGAACAAAATTAAAAAGCTTTGCCAACATTTAAGCTGGATTTAATTAAAAGATTTCCAACTAAAAATGATGAACTTGAAATGAGTTTGAAGTTCATTTAGATTGAGAAAAGATTGAAATTACAATAAACTTATCACAATCTTATAACTAAACTATAAACTGCCTAAGTCGGAGTTAATTTGACCTTAAAATCCTTATTTGGTAAACCCTTCCCTGAGGCTTCTTAAGTGCCAAGTTATTTATAAATTCATTGACCTACAGAAATCAGAGTAAACATTGAAATAATATTACAAAATCCTTGTTCTAGCCAAGGCTGCTGTTCAACATCAACGGAGAAACAAGCCACAATTGGATGTGGCAAATAGGTGATGTAGGTGTAGGTTTGAGAAAGCTGATACATTTCTGCTGTAGCAATTACAGAAGTACACGACAAAGGAGTGGGGCAAAGTTACGTACAGTTCTGTAAATGAATTGCTGACAATTAGTTGAATTTGTTGGCGCAGTCAGCTGTGTGGCAAGAAACTGGAAAACTTGTACAGCGACAATCAGAGCAGCTGCCACAGCGGGCGTCACTTGATGAGACCCTAAATCCTTGTCCATAACTGTAGGAATTGGAGTTGTTCTTGTCCTGGTTATGGTTATGTCGGACCAAACTTTTCTATTGCATTAGTTTTGTGTCAATAATAATAAACATTCTCACTGCAGACTTAAGGGCCATATCCTAAACCAGTCCTCGTATGTTGTATTTTAGTGATTTAATCAAAGTTTTTATAAGAAAATATTAGATTTTAAAATGTCAATTTTATTACTAGCATTTTAGCTATTAAGAATTTACCTAGAAAAAAAGTACAAATTGAGTTTGAAGCGCTGTCATTCAACACTTTTGCCCAATCAAATATTTATGTCCCTCGAAGAGGTCATTAACATTCATTTAGCTGGGAAAACAAAGCCATGAATAAACAATTAAACACTTTTGACAGTCCAACGCAGACGGTTGAACTTCTTGAGAGAAAACAAAAGCACCACACTCGACAAGTTTACGGAAGTGCTTTTATTTAGCTGCTTTCCAGGAAAAGAATAGAATCACAGCATCTTGAGTTCCCCCAACTGGACAATCAAAGAGTCAACAGCTTGCTATGAAAAAATAGAAACAGCCCAGTCGCAAATTGCAATTCAAACTATGCACGTGTTAATTATTTATGCCCAACTCCTTTGGCCAAAAGAAATTCCACGCCCGAAACGATAAATCAGTTGGCCATAAGAAGCTATCGCCTTGTAAATTCCACCTTTTGCCATGGAAAAGAGTTCCTAGTATAAATTATACAAATTATTATTTAACTCCTAGTTGCCCAAACGACTTTGGGATACGAGATTCATAGGCAGTGAGAGAAAATCATAGCTTACTTAAGTTTAAGTTTAAGTTTTTCTCTCGTTTTGAAAAACCTTCGAAACATTCTTAGATATTTGTCAAGAGTCATTATAATATTTACGATTACGCACATACGATTATCACATTTTAAATTTACTATTTCTGATCATTTTTTCTCTCTGTGCACTTCTTGGCATGTGGCTTGGTTCTTGGTCTTGGGCCAAAGTTATGCACAGACAAATCGCTTATTTAGATTAGAGCTGACAACCGAGGTGGGGGAAGATTGCCGAGGAAGCCAGAAGAAGGAGCTCCAGAATACAGACGCGGATCGGATACTTATATCCCCAACTGGTTGCAAGATCTTCATTCTCCACAATTTGCTGGCTTGTTTGTTTTTCCTCGAAGAGGAGGTGTGTGCGTGTGTTTATGCTGTTCAAGCGAGTAACAAACTGTCTACTTAGTTTAAGCCAAGCTAGCAGGTAATCGTGGGGTGAATCCGCAGGTAACCGGTGATCATTTTCAATTAGAGAGCCCAAATCGCGGGGCGTGATTTAAAAGCTGTTGTGGGTAAGACTGGTAGCTTGATACCGATTATGGGATAAGTGCGAGAGCATCGTTTATAAAGCCAAAGCTAACGAACCAATGACTCGAAGGACTTTTGCAGATTGTTGTTAGATTAGCGTTCGTAATAAATGAGGCATCTGCTTGATGGAAGGTGGAGCCTGGGTGTTGTCTAGACTTGTGATTGCAAAGCAGCAAGTTTAAAAAATAAAGAAAGAAAGTCCCTACCTGACTCGGCGCATTTGTCATAATAAAATTAGCATTTTCCTGGGTCAACAGGAGACGCAGGAGAGCAGGACACCGGGCCAGAGGCACAGGATGCAGGACAACTTGAGGATGGTGGCCAGTGGACAGTGAAACTTATCAGCGTGTTGACAGTCTTGTCGACTAGAGAAGGAAACAACTAGGCAACTAGGAGATATTGATGTGAAAAAGTAAGTCACCCTTTACAAAAAGTGGCAAATATTCTTAACAAGTTTTTGATGTAGAAAAAGGTAAAATAATTGAAGGTGGGACAGAAGTTATATCTCATTAAAAAGAGAAAGAAATCATTAACTAAAAATAGTGTTCAATATTTGAAACAAGTTACATATTCTTAAGATAGGATATAAATCATTCGTACATTTAACAACCATCTTTCTCCATTGACCTTTTTCCAGTTGCTGCTGCAACTTTATTTCTTTATCCTTCATCCCGAAGTGAAAGGATGTAAAAGCCTTTCCTGTCTGGTCGATAAACATTCGAGTTGCCCTTACAAAATATTAACGAAATGGCCAATTCAATTGGAACTCTATTAGCCCTCGCATTCGATATCCATTCGATTCCCATTCGCTTTCGATTCACTTTAAATGACCAACAAAACGCAAAGGAAAATCCATCAAATTCCTGAAACTACTGAATACTTTTGAGTTGCCAGCGGCAATATTGTGCTGACTAAACGGAAAGAGGGCCCGGCATGTAAAGCGAAATCAAATCACGTACAGTGTCCGTTCCTTTACTAGCCAATATCTGCTGACCAAATTTCACGCAGCTGCAACAAATCAAAGAGCAAAATTCTGGCAACTGAGGAGTAGACCAACTGCCGCCACTTCGAGTGCTAAATAAATTGAAAATTCTAAAAATTTTAATAAAAATTGTCGCAATATTGCAATGAAATTCGCATGATTGCCGGCCGCGTTCTCTACTTCGATTCAGGAGGAATTCAGATTTTTAAAACTTTCCATGGGTATCACGTGCAAATGCAATTCCAATTTTTTTTCCCTTTGCAACCGTCAACTGCAACACCATTTTGATAAATATATATATCTGGTGAGATATATACACTTTGTATATGTCAGTGGAATTGGTGAAATTTTTTTGTTGAGTCAGTTTTGGGGAGAAGTGCTGTCAATTCATGGAATGAGGATCCTCTATCTCTGTTAGGAGGGCTTTTGTAACTTGTATTCTACCTTTTGAACTTTATTTGGAACTTGTAGATTTTTAAACATTGTATACGACTGAGTGTCCTGTGCTGTACATACCATTAAAATTAAGATTTTCTTTTTAATAACTATCTTATAATTGGTTTAGGAAAATATTAATAATGAATAAATAGGATTTATATCGGATTATCTAAATATTTATAAGCAAGTTAAATATCTATTTCAGACTCTGTTTATTTAATCAATAAATTTAAAGTATTTGTTTTTAAATATATTTATTTAATCCAAAAAGTCTTATCTAAATCCCATAATAATTATAACATTAAAATGCGGATTACTGAAAAACTCGCTTTAATATTTGTTATTTATATATTTCCCTTTCAAAAACCTGTGTCGGTCGTTTTCCATGATTTCTTGCCCGCACCCAGAAAATAAATTTAATTGAATTTCATGGCGTTTTTAAAGAGAAACTATCAGATTAATTAATAATATTTATGTGCGGTATTGTGCACGTTGCACACGCCGAAACAAGCGGAAGGCATTGTTTGTCCGTTCGATTTTGACAGATACATAATTAGTTTTTGCACACCATAAGGCCGCAGGTGCCGTTTCTGTTTTCATTTGTCCGATGCATCCAACTATATATCTACATATATAACTTTATATATATATAAATATATGTATTTTTTCTAGCCACAATAGCTATCTATGCTGGCGCATTTTATGCGCTAGAGCTGCGAATGAATTTTGTATAAATGTTTATGGATATTTACCTCGAGCGGCGGCGGCGCCAATGCAAAAGCCGAATGCCAGCAGGCGGCAGAGCCAACTGAACGTGGACGAGGATGAGGATACGGATGTTGATGTGGATGTCCTTGTCGCCATTTTGTCGAGCTGTGAAAATGGCGGCGTCTTTGGCGCCATTGCGTTTTTGCTTTGCCAAAAAAATGTCACAACAGCTGCAAAGAGAAAGAGCGAGAGAGTGTTGGAGAAAAATAAAACGTTTAGAAGTGTTGAGATATTTTCTGGAATTATTCCCTGTCCCATTGCAAAAAAACAATTTGATTTCTTAACAGCATTGACTGTATTTAACGAAAAACATTTACTTTCAATTTGGTTCTGGCCCCTCTTGCTGTTTTTAAATGCGTCCACCCACACTTTACAGGCAGACCAATTTTGCGCGCCATAAAATTCAAATCAATTTCCCTAATTAGCAAAAGTCTCAAGTAATCAGCGAAAGTCTTTCGGAGGAGGTGACATTGCACACTGGGGAGGGAAATGTGTGGAAAATAAAGACAAATGAGAAGTGTATACCTTAAGTTTCCTTTTCCCATGACTTTTAAAGTTAGCATCCTTAACTAAACTATATATCTAAGAAGTCAAACCCATTAAATTAAATTATCTTAGTGTAGAGTGGGCTGTAAGATATATTGCATCTAAAAATGTTCCCCTTTTTTCACTTTTTCCCACCCTGGAAACCATCTTTACGCCTCGTTCGGTTTCATTTCCACAATTTCCATGCCACCATACCCTTGGCTTTTCTCTTCGCCATTTAATAAGTTAATTGTTACTGCCGTTGCACTTTTGCCGCTTTTGAATTTATGATTAGCCACAACCGCCCAGCGGTCGGCAATCAGAAGCCAAGTATTTAACGCTCTTCAAGGACTTGTACACCCAAGACTTGGCTTACTTCCTTCTCCTGCCATTCCACACAAACCCCCACCCAACCAAGCGATCTACTTCAGTACCCGCTCCCCATTTGGCCAACCGTTTTGAGTTGGCCAAGTTTACTTTAAGCCAGCAGTGACAGTTCCACATAAATGTCAACTGCTGCGGTCCTGCTGAGCTTTATGCAGTCCGACTTTTATGCATTTCTAGTGCTTCCCCTCCGATAGAATTCATAGCTGCCAAGGACTCCACATAGTCCCGTTTCCCCGTGGCACAGGCAGGACCTACTCCTTCTCCTACTATAACTACTACTACTACAATTCCCTTCCTCCATCCATCGCATCTTGACTCGTCCGAGTCATTATTGTCGTCTGCTTTTTCACTGGTCGCTGTAACTGCTGCCTGACTTTGTGTCAACTCCATAATTATAGTTTCTGCTATTTTCTTATAGTTTTTGCAACAAAAAACTTCCAATGAGCTGGCCACCGTGGTTTTAAATTGACCAAGTTTTTTGGTTTCTAGTTAGTTTTAAAGGTATTTGTTTTAAGTTTTTAATATGCTTACAACAATGTCAACAATATATCAAGAACAATAATTTCGTTTTATAGTAAGTTAATGTTTCCAAAAAATGTATATTTTAAACTTAATTCTAGGCGTGAGTTTCCATCAAAAGAGAAAAAAAGTAAGTCAAAGCAAGTTATTTCTATGAAAATTGATTTTACATTTTCTTCAGATTTATTCCATCCTAATCCATTTAAGAAGTCTAAATCCAAAATGATCCCACGGTTATAGAACTTAAAGTTGCTCTACATCGAGTGTGGCAGCAGCAGCCATACACATAAAACTGCTGAGATTCTATTAACCCAAGAAATTATGAGAAATGAAAACTTATTACGAGAAGTCATTAAAATTCAAAGAATTAAAACTTGAAAAAGTAAAACTGAAAATGAAGCAAAGCCAAGGCGTTGTTGCTACCGATGTTGCAGTCTCTACTCCTCTACTATATATATATATATAAATGTAACTATATATATAGTATTATAGTAGTTTGTGAATCGGGAAAGTCGGGCAGCCGTACAAAAACTGTCGACGACTTATGACAAAGCCGAGGGGTTGGGTTGGGGGCTGGTTTTGTGATAAAGAAAAGGCAGAGCCTGCGTCACTGGCAGAGCATTTTCCTCCTTTTAAGTTTCAACTAGTTGGGCGGCAAAGGAAAGTCATAATTGTTAATGGGCTTTTAGCTTAAACGAATTTTTACTACGAAAATGCGTCTGCTTTTCTGTTAGTGTATAATACCGAATTCTGTTTAAGTTTTAATTAGATTTTTAATATTTGCAGATTGTGAAATATGGCAGGCGTGTGCAGTAAGTCTGATTAAAAAACTTTTCTCTCCGTATGATGTATGTTAAATCATTTTTCTTCTTTTTTTTTTTTCCTTTGCACTATTGCATTGTGATTTTTCATTTTCATTCATATAATTTTCATATTTTTTTGTTGTTGTTTATTTCATTTTTTTTTTGTTAATGCACGTTTGGTTTAATGAGCCGGCTATTAAGGCGCACCATCATTACGCAATGTCAGTTGGCACTTTTATCAATGTTTCCTGTCAGTTTCGAGAACTTTGCGCCGCGTCACGACGTCACGAGAGTGTCAGCGCCAGCGATTTTCATATTCACTGTGCATTTTTATCAGCCATTTGCCGACTCATTAAGCCAACGTCAATGTCCCGCCGCCGACCACCGTCGACCATCATTTCTGCCACCGGGGGCCTTCGTTCTGATTCAGTTTCTGATTCTTCTTGATGATGGCTTGGTTGCATTTAAAAAACGTCATTGCCGATTGAGTTTTACATGCTTTTAATTGACGTCGTCATGTAATGAAATTCAATTTATACTGCTAGCCATTAATAGTAATTCATACGGAATGCTCTGAACTATCTACTTTGCTAATAAATCCAGAGTTATCTTTATGATCTTTTACTAAATCAAAGGTTTTTTTGAAGATTTTCGTTTTTAATCCATTTGATATCAAAAGTATTCAATAATATTTATTAAAATTAAAGAATAAATTGTTATATTTTTACCCTCAAAGATTTATTTTACTATTTTTATTGCCTCTCATAAATAAGCAATACCATAACCATTATCGTTCTAATTTTGCCCCTGTGTAAAGAATCTTTACCTCAACTTAACTGCAGCCAAGTTGACATGAATATGCAGCACGTGAGCAGACAAACACGTCCCTTTAAAGTATATAATAAAAATTCTATATTTCATGTAAATTGCGTTATAGAACAACATCAGCCATTGAACAAGAGAGTGAAGTGTCGGACAACTTCAAAATTGAAAATGCATATCCATGGTTGTGTTTTCTCCATTTACAAGTTATGTTATGTTATTTTCGCTTGTTCACATTCTCTACTATGGAATTTTCATTTCGAAAGCTGAAATAGTTTAACATTAATTGTTGTGATATTAGCTTGCCGAGCAATAAAAGCTACATAAAAGTGGAAGTGCTTGAATGATTTTCACTATGAACTGCTTTAAATAGATTGAATCTTCGAAATTTTAATATTTTCTAAATGATGTGTCGCTAATGTATAATGAAATTGTGTTTCCAAATGTTTTCCATTACCATTTTCCTTATTTGCTTGTAATATTAACAAATAATTCCAATTTGCATTTAACTTCACCCTCAGTTCCAGCCAAAATGCAAATCGGATTGAAGCAGAAACAAGTTTCGTCTGATAAAATTAAAGTGAGATAAACAGCCACTTAAGGCTTATATAATTTAATGGGCAAACATTTTTCTGGTCATTACGACCAAGTCTGGTAGCTGGTTTTTTAAAGTCGCGTGCCCGCAAAAAAATGAATATATATTAAAAAAAGAGAAATACAAACCAAGAGAGAGAGAAAGGAATAAAATCGGTTGTCACGATTTCAATGAAAATTAAAAATCCCAGCATGCATTGAAAACGGCGGCGGTCAAAAGCCTTTTAATTAAAGTCAAACCAGCAATACAACGGTCTAAAATTGTTGTTGCTTTCCATTGGACAAAAATATTAATTGACTTTTCCGACTGGCCGTCGAGACGGGGCCCGAAAACATCATTAACGCAAATATAATTACGTGACAATTTGATGCCTTCGCCCAGGCATCAACAAATCGCAAATCAAAAAGCGAAATTAATTATACCCATAGAGCTGGCTTGCTGGCTGGCTGGCCGTCGAAATCGAGGCGTGCTGAGCCACCCAAGGGATCAATCAGTGCAAAGTCGCGAAGGTAAACAATAAAGCAGCTCCGGACGCGACATTCATGCAAACATAGCTCTGCTCCACAATTCCCAGTGTCCAGTCAAGCGGCGTCCTTTGGCGTTTCAACAAAAAAAAAAAAAAAAAAAAAGGGTCGCCGACGCTGTTTAACTTTGAAAAATTAAAATCCACTTGGGCCCCCATTGCGCGCCAAACCCCTACGAAAAAACCAACAAAGGGGCGCAAAAAATTCAACCCCTCACGGATAGTCTCGCATTTTTCAATGGCCAAATAATAAAGTCCCCAAATGTCAGTTGGGAGTTATAATCTGTTTGCCGCTTTTTCATGGTCGCCATTTGACTGCCCAGCAGCGGGAGAAAAGGGTATGTTATGTAGGGAAAGGCGTTGGCAGTGCTCATGAGAAATGTTGAGGGAATAATCTGACTAATTGATAATGATAGAACTCGTAAAGAAAATAAATATTTATATTTTATTGTTATTAAACGTAAGACAAACTTGTAGCTTAAGGTCAATTTTTGATTTATTCAAAAATTTTGTTTTAAGAAGTTTAAAGTTAAGGTTAAGTTAAGGCTGAAATCTGAAAGGTATTTTAAGATTAAAGTTAAGCTGTTGTAAAATCTGAAAGGTATTTTAAGGCAAGAACATTTCTTTTAAAGTTAAGCTTGTCATGTTTATAGTTCTTAGAAAGGAAATGAAGGTGACATATTTCCCAATTTAACTACAATTTTATCTCGTAAGAAATCATATGTTATATTTTTAGTTTTTCGCTTAATACCACTTTAAGATCTTATGAATGTAAAGGATATTTCCTTAGTCGACCTTCTCCACTACCCCACAATAATCTTGTTGTTCGTTTTGCCTGCTTTGCGTACCCTCTGACAATGCCGATTAAATGAAACGTAAATTTGCAGCAATTACGAGGGTAAATATGCATTAAAATAAATTTGCATGCAATTATTTTTTGGCACATCAAAGTCCCATGGAATCCATCAAATTATCTTTGTTGCAGATTTATTGCTGTTGTTCTTGTTTTTTGATTTTTCCTTTCTGTCTAGCCTAATTACTAACTAAAACAATTGCAAATTAGATGGAGGGGGGAAAACTTTTGATGTTGTCTCTTATTGTTTTTCTTTTTCTGGCCGACGACTTCAATAAACCAATTTGTTATGAGATTCGTCGAGGTGTTAAGACTACAACGGAAAATACTTTGGCTGACATCTCGTTTATCAA